AAGTCAGTCCAAAGCGATTGGGGTGGTGAGTACAGATAATTGCTCATGAGCTGACTCATGCAGGCATTGCTCATCGGGTTACATACCCTCACACTTCTGAATAGAACGGTGTTATAGAACGAAAGCATCGCCATTTAATCGAGCTAGCCCTTGTATTGCTTGCTCAGACAGCTCTTCTATTTCGTTTTTGGTCCTATGCTGTGGCTACTGCAGCACTTTTGATAAATCGGTTGCCTACAAGGGTTCTAGGTAACATTTCTCCATTCGAGAAATTGTTTGGTCCAAAATCGGATTATCAGTCACTACGCGTGTTTGGGTGTCGCTGTTTCCCACACTTAAGGCCCTTTCAACAACACAAATTAATGTTTAGTTCTGCACCTTGTGTATTTTTGGGTTACAGTTCACAACATAAGGGCTTCCAATGTCTCGCTCATGATGGTCGATTGTATATTTCAAGGCATGTAAAATTTGATGAAAGTGTTTTTCCTTTTGCAGAAAAACGAGAAGTTGCAGGTTTGTCTAACACTCGTGCATGGCGATCAGCACCCTTACAGGTTGTGTCTAATTGTGTGAACACAAGGGTTGTGACTGATACTTCACTGTGTTGTCGTACAACGTCCCAAACGCATGGTAACTCTACTTTTCATGTTGATACAACTTTCAATGCTCAAGGAGGTCCAGGTCCTAGTACTCAAGATGGTGCGAATTCCAGTGTTCAAAGCGATACTGGTCACACAACTGTGCAAGGCACTACAGCTGAATCTAGTGCTACTGGACCTACATAATCTAAAGTTGTGCCTAGTGAGTCTGTGCAGCTTGCTCCTGAGCAAAATACATCAGTTGTGAATCGGTATCATATGCTAACAAGAAGCAAATGTGGAGTCTTTAAGCCCAAGGTCTTTTCTAGCACCTTGCATGATTCTACTCCTACGACGATTGGTAAAGCTATGAGATCAAAAGAGTGGAGCGCAGCTGTTTATGCTGAACTTACTGCACTGCAAAATAATGACACATTGTCACTTGTAAAATTACCTGAGGGTCGAACCACGGTTGGTTGTAAATGGTTGTTTAAAATAAAGAACAATTCAGACGGTTAAGTACAAAGATACAAGGCACGACTTGTTGCTAAAGGGTACTCTCCAGTACCAGGTAAGGATTTCAAGGAAACCTTCTGTCCTGTTGTGCGTTTTTCAACATTGAATGTGATACTTTCACTTGCTGTGTCTGGAGAATGGTCGTTGAGGCAAGTGGATGTCAACAATACGTTTCTTTATGGTGACTTGAATGAAGATGTATACATGCAACAACCACCTGGCTTTGAGCAGTATACTCCTGAGGGTGAAAGGCTTGTTTGCAAACTACAAAAATCCCTATACGGTCTGCGCCAGGCACTACAGAACTGGCATGCCAAGTTGAAAGGAAGTCTGCTTCATTTGGGTTTCAAAGAATCTAGAGCTGATACTTCGCTGTTTGTTCTAACAAACGATGATGGTATAATGACCTATGTTTTGGTCTACGTAGATGATATAATAGTCACAAGGCAGTTATCGGTAGAAATTGAGAGTGTGGTGATGATGTTGAAGAATCAGTTTTCCTTGAAGGACCTAGGTGAGTTACACTATTTCTTAGGAATCGAAGTAAAACGCCGTGATCAAGTACTGGTACTTAGTCAGAAGCAGTACATTTTGGAACTGCTAGAGAAGGCACGAATGACTAAGGCTTTGTTTACTGCCACATCGATGGTTGCTTCCTTCAAAATGAATAAGGATGAAGGGCAGTTACTTGCTGATGCTCGTGAGTTTCGCAGTCTAGTGGGAGTGCTGCTCTATGTGTGTCACACGAGGTCTGATATTGCACTTAGCGTGAACAAGGTCACCCAGTATATGCATGCCCTTAGAGAGCAACATTTGCTAGCTGCTAAACGTATTCTGCGCTATCTGGCAGGAACACTAAACTATGGACTTGGTTTTATACCAGGACAAGTGCGAGTGTCAGCCTTCTTCGATGCTGACTTGGGAGGTTGTGCTGATTATAGGCATTCGATATCAGGCCACTGTGTCTTCGTTGGTGACAGTCTTGTATCATGGAGTGCAAAGAAGCAAAAGGTAGTGTCACGGTCAACTATGGAGGCTGAGTACAGGAGCCTCGCAGATGCAGCAGCAGAGGTAGCATGGGTCACTGCATTACTTGCTGACTTGAAGGTTTCACAAGGTAAACAACCAACCATATGGTGTGACAACACAAGTGCAATTTCCTTAAGTGCGAATCCAGTATATCACTTGCAGTCCAAGCATGTGGACTTATATGTACATTTTGTACGGGAAAAAATTGCTGTAAATCAGCTCTGTGTGAGCTATGTTCCAGCAGCTCATCAAGCTGCAGATTGTTTAACTAAGCCACTATCGAAATCAACTTTTATCAACTTTCGTAATAGACTTAATGTTTTTTTGATTGATGAAGATGAGAAGAAGAAGCAGGGGGAATGTTGAGAGTTACATGTATGCTTGTGCATGTTACAGCTGAGATGGTTCTAGAAACAATCTAGAAGTTAGTTAGTTATCATAACATATTGTTGTTATGAAATTCTGTTAAGTAATTTTAGCTTGTTAAGCTTGTATATAAGGAGCAGAATATGTAAGGCTTGTGACCATCTATTAATGATAGTAAAGTGTTTGAATAAATTCTTGAAACTTGTTTGATTACTCAATATTACCTGATAAAGACAATGAAGACACATCTTCTTCCTAATCTTCTTTTACACCCTCTTCATTTTCAAGCTCATCATCCAAGGCTACAATTGCAACTATGTTTTTCTTCTTAGATGACTTCTTCTTACCTGAAAATCCAAATGAGAAGCATCTTCTTCCTCATCTTCTTTCACACCATTTTCATCTTCAAGCTCATCACCCAAGACGTATTCAGTTGCCAACGCCACTTTCAAGCTCGGGAAACCTATATCTTCCTTGTTACCAATCCCAAATTAGAAACCACATGGTTCAAGGTTATTGTTTTTGCTTTGATAAATTGGTTCCAATAGCCATTCACCGATGACAATCAACCTTTGCTCTCGAAGAATTCTTACTTGTTTCATTCTTCCTTGCCGAGCTTCACGTTGATGGTCAAGTTTATAATTTCATCGATTCTACATCTTCAAGAATAACTGCTACTTACTTACCCACTTTTTATTGCTGGACTCCATAAAGAACTCGTCTTTTAAGCTTTTGTATTTATGTAGGAACCCAAATGGCCAAATGCTACTTTCGTCTCGCTTTAGTACTTCACAAACAAGCTAAGAAAACAATTATTGAAAGACAAAGTAAAGGTGCATTTGCAGGGGGGGAGTGGATTTGAACTCGTCTAAGGTGGTGTAGGTTTGTTGTCCCAAGAGAACTTCATTTGCTTGCCACATAGAAGGTCAAAATGACTATAGAATAGAGGGTTTAATATCACCAAAAAAAGTTTAATGCCTAAAGTTCAATAAATAAATTAAAAAAATTAAAAGTACAATGAGTAAAATAAGAGAGAGAATAAAATTCAGTGAGTAAACATGTAATTTACCCAAAATATAATATATATTAGTTTAAGATTAGGAAAGGTATAGTTGCTTCATATTTAAACTGATGTATGAAGATATCTGCAATGATGCCTGTGAAAGTAGGAATGGCTTGACTGAGTCAGATGTGATTTCATATCCAAAACATGAAGATTCCATTCCCAACCCAGGCTGCTTTGGTCCCTCACCCGACATGCCTCTTTGTCTCGGCATGTTTCCCACCACTTTGAGAGGCGCGTGAAATGGTTCATTTTCCACAAACGTGCAAGATTCTCTCGATGAACATCAGAAAAATAGACTAAAATTCATGGTTCTGAGGTATGTTTTGAGGTGGGATTCAATTAAAAAAAACATGGGGACAAGCGCGTGGTTTAACGTGTTGTAGTTCATCATATTGCATGGGATTCCAAAGCTAAAGTGTAAAGTGAGTTCAAAGCTTTTTTTAGCAGCAATCCAAGTTCCAATGCTAATGTCCTACTGATTTATTTCCATTAACAACCTTTTTTCTGGTGAAAAGACATTGAAATCGCTTGGTCCTTTTGCTAGATTTGGTACTGATATGTTGCCTTGCTTTTGTTAATCAATGATGGAGATAATTATTTGTATTTAAATTTTAAAATAGAATAAAAGAAAAAAAAAAACCCACCCCATGTGATGACATATTTACAAATATCAGAAAAACTATTATTTTTAGTTATACAAATGTTATCTCTCTCCATTTCTGCATTTCTCAAAGGAGCTTCCTCTCAGCCAGTCCTCTCTTGAGCTAAAACTAAAGGCTTTTCCCATTAATGCACCTCCCTCTTAATTGCTTTATCGGTTATCCTTGATGGTTTCTCTCTTTTTGTACGGTACTTGTCAACTACCATCTTCCATTACGTTTTGCAGGCGCAGTCCACTTCTCTTTAATATCTCACTCGCTTAAATTAACCCTTACAGTTTGCTAATTACTTAAAGTTCCAATTTTTTTAACCTTGTTTTGGTTTCTCGGTGGTTGTTCACTTTCCCGGAAAAGTAGCATGAGAGAGAGAGAAAGAGTTAAAGACATGTTCCTTGGATCATGAAAGTTGCTTGTTAGTTAATGGTTCTTGTATTTATCTCCATTGGGTATCTTCCTTTTTTGACTGGAAGTTAGTTAAAGAGATGAACTTTCTTGGAAAAAACACCGTCTTGGATTTTCCCGAGTAAGAATTTTTTTTTCTGTTTGTTTTTCCTCCAACATTTGCTTAAATTTCAGGCATTTATGCTTTTAAGTGTGCTCTTGAATTTACTAAGAGAACATCAGCAGGATTTTGCATCTCTCAACTTCGCTGAAATTTCTGTTCTTGGGTTTTGCAGATAAAGATTCAACCTTCAGGTAAACCATTGCTTATCAAAACTTCATCTTTGTAAGGAATGTTCCAATTTCTTCTGAATTTAACATTCTTGCTTTCAATTCTAGGTTTGTTGCTTCACAAGCGTTCAATGGGATGCTTTTACTTGTTTGTTTTAGTATTGTTTTCATGGAGTTCCTTTTTCCTTACTACAAATGGATTACAAAGTTATCAAACTCAACTTTTGCTGCAAATAAGGAAGCATTTAGAATACCCTCCAGAGCTCCAAATTCTGGAAAATTACAATGGGGACCTCTGTAACTTGTCTGAAACGTCACATGTGATGATATCTTGCCAGGATAATTTCGTCACTGAGCTTAATATTAGGGGAAAAAAGGTTTCCAATATCAGTGGCTTCAATGGACATGCAATTCCTGGTAAAACACTGTCCGAGACTTTTTCTATTGATTCCTTGGTTACCACATTGACAAGGTTAACCAGTTTGAGGGTTCTTAGCTTAGTGTCACTTGGAATTTGGGGTTCACTTCCTGATAAGATTCATAGGCTATATTCACTTGAACTTTTGGATTTAAGCTCCAATTTTATGTTTGGCTCAATCCCCCCTCAAATATCTAGAATGATTAAGCTTCAAACTCTAACATTGGATGGCAACTACTTCAATGGTACTATTCCTGATACACTTGATTCCTTATCAAATCTTACTGTTCTGAGTTTGAGGAGCAATAGGTTGAAGGGTCAGTTTCCGTCTTTGATATGCCGAATTTCAAGCCTAACAGATATTGCTTTATGCCACAATAAGCTTTCGGGTAAGTTGCCTGATTTAAGTTGCTTGACTCGCCTGCGCGTGCTGGATATAAGAGAGAATCAGTTTGATTCAGAACTGCCTGTCATGCCCCAAGGATTGGTTACAGCTCTAATTGCTAAGAACTTATTCTCCGGAGACATTCCGGCTCAGTTTGGCATATTGAGTCATCTTCAGCACCTTGACTTATCTTCCAATCATCTGAGTGGAACTCCCCCCTTTGCCTTGTTCGATTTGCCAAGCATCAGTTACTTGAATTTGGCATCAAATGGGCTGACTGGTTCATTTCCGGAGCGCCTAACTTGCAGTAGCAAACTCGGATTCGTCGATATTTCTGGTAACAAGTTGGTTGGTGGTCTTCCTTCTTGCTTAGACAATAAATCAGACAAGAGAGTAGTGAAATATGGTGGGAATTGCTTGTCAACTGATGGCCAACAGCAGCATCAAGGTTCCTATTGCAATGAAGCAAGCACAAAAAGAAGCGGAAGAAAGATAGCATTATTAGTTGTTGTAGTATCTGCTCTGCTTCTGATGATTTTGGCATTCGGGATTATTATTCTGTTTCGAAGATGCCGACCAAGGCGAACATTTGAAACTAATATACGGCAAAAGGTCGTTCAAGAGAACCCAACGACCGGAGTTTCACCCGAAGTTCTTGCAAATGCCAGTAAGCAAAAACTATTCTTCTGCTACTTCTATCATCCAAATCAATCCAAGTTCATACTTATTAGGAGTTCATCATGATTTGTAACCCTGTTTTATAGTGCTTCTAAGGGATATTTAAGTAACTATTAATGTTAATTATTGATCATTAATTATTTGATTTTATTTGTTTAGGATTCATTTCTGAAGTTGTGAAACTAGGGGCAAAAGGTGCTCCAGTATGTCGACTGTTTACCATGGAAGAGTTGGAGGAAGCCACAAATAACTTCGGTTCATCAATGTTTATGGGTGAAGGCTCTACTGGAAAGGTATCCTCAAAACTTTCTCTCACTTTTTTCCTTCCTCGAAGCTCGGCACCGAAGAAAACAGCTTGCAAGAGCTAAGATTTACATTTTACAGAACAAGGTTATACCCTTTAAGTACTATAAAAAGGGGTCACAAATTCTGTACTTGGTTCAGACATTTTGCACTTGATATCATCAATGGCCTATCTGACTTCATTTGTTTCTATTTTTCAGCTCTATAAAGGAAGATTGGAGAATGGAACCTATGTCGCCATCCGATCATTGAGTTCACTGAAGAAACATTCAATTCAAAATCTTAAAGTTAAGCTTGATTTCTTGTCAAAGATTCACCATCCAAATTTAGTAGGACTTTTAGGTCACTGCATCGATGGTGGTGTACAAGACGATTCCAGAGCAAACAAAGCCTTCCTTGTATACGAGTATGTGCCGAACGGGAACTATCATATGCATTTGTCAGGTCAGTGTTGCTTGAACTTTGAATTGTATTTATATGCATATGCTAGGTTCCAAGCTATAGTTGTACAGAAGTACTGTACTGCATTCTGACAGTCAATCTGGAAAAATGATGCAGAGACTTGTCCAGAGAAGGTTCTTAAGTGGTCAGATAGGTTAGCAATTCTAATCGATGTAGCCAAGGCCGTGCATTTTCTACATACCGGGGTTATTCCCGGAGTTCGTAATAACCGTTTGAAGACGAACAATTTATTGTTGGACGAGCATCGAATTGCAAAGCTGAGTGACTATGGGATGTCAATCATCATGGAAGAGAATGACAAACTAGAGGCATGTTTCCTTGCTATTTGTATTTAACTTGTTACCCGCAAAAGAAAATGACAAAAATTTTATTGCTTTGCAGGCGAAGGGAGACGGCTTAAAGTCTAGGTATTGCCTGGAACCAATCCTCAGCAGACTATTGAAGCTTCATTGTCAATTGTTGTTTATATAATAATCTGTTTTTCATTCTATATTGCAGCCAAAGGCAAAATTTAGAGGATGATGTTTACAACTTCGGATTTATATTACTCGAGTCGCTTGTCGGACCTATAGTGAGTGGAAAAGAAGAAACATTTCTTTTGAATGAAATGGTAAGCCATTGTTTTTCTCTGATGAATTCCATTCAACATGCAAAATATTATTGCAATGACTATCAGCTAGCAAATATGCAATCGAATATGTTGAAGTTCATGTTTTCTTAAGAATGCTAACATCCTGTATTGCACATCACAGGCATCTTTCGGCAGTCAGGACGGCCGAAAGAGAATTGTGGATCCAACAGTGCTGACCACTTGCTCACAGGAGTCGTTATCCATTGTGGTGTCAATTACCGGAAAATGCATATGTCCCGAACCATCGTCTCGGCCATCTTTTGCGGATGTCCTCTGGAACTTGCAGTATGCCGCTCAAGTTCAGGCGGCAGCCGATGCTGATCAGAAATCCGATTCGATATTGTAGTCAATGTATATGGTAGGTGCACACCTGATGCTTGTTTCGAAACAAAACCTGCTGACACCTGCCCGGATAAAGCTCTTGGAAGGTGCTTTCGTGTCGAAAATGAGTTAGGCCTGGATTTAGCTGCAATTCCTAAGAAATGTAAAGTAGAAAATTTCGAAATAGACCTTATACATAGAAAATTTTGGTAAAATATATATGTCTTGGACACATTTTTATTAGAAGAAAGTTGCTGTATGGTCATAAGCAACAAGGAAATGACACCAAATACTGGTTTTCAATAATCAATGGTAACACCTCTCAAAAATCTGTTCTGTTTTCTTTATCCGGGACGGATTTAAGATTTTGTACCAGAGGGACCGAGACGGAGGATGTGAAAACATATTATCAATAAAAGAATATTTAAAATATGCGAAAATTAAAATTCTCAGGAGAACAACTTTTCTTTCTCAGTCCATCACTAGATATATGTGTATAGTATAGAAATGGTTAAGAATCTCCGTGATTCATTGCTTCCAAATTCAGTCTAAAGTTTTGGTTTAGGACCTTTTGGTTAGATCTATCATTGTCGTTATTGATTTATAAAAATAATTAATTTCTAATTTAATTTTAAAATTTCAAATAAAGTATCAATTAATATTTTTATAATTGGGTACATCATACAAATGATCACTAATATTTAAGTAATTTTTTATTTTCTCACTAAAGTTTCAAAAATAATAAATTGATCACAAATATTGTAACAAAATGATCATTTCATCTTATTAAAATGATGACGTAACAATATTAACAAAAAAATTAATATCTAATTTTATCTGTAAATTATTACTAAAATATTAAACAAGTCCTTAAACAATATTTTATATTAATTTACCCCTAGTTTTTGAAGGATACTTTTGTGTCCATGCCACCACGACACAACCCACTTCTGTGGTTCCTTTATAAGCTTCAAACCTGATTCTGACAGTTTAAGTTCCTTAACAATTCAAACTTCTCTCATACCAAAAAAAAAAAAGCTTCGTTCTCTCCTCAAAAACTCTTGAAATTCTCTGATTTTCATCTCCAGCTTGTCATGCTGAGAATCAAACCCGAGCTGATGCAAAATACTTGTTGTCTTCTATTGTCGAGACTTTTGGTGGTGAGAAGAGTGTCTTGGAGACTAATGAATTATCTTAGACCGATATTATATTTACAATTACACATATTTTGGTTCCACTTTCTAAAGAGTCTGCCATGATTGAACTAGGACGGGCACGGAACTTGAATCGATAGGTTTAGACTCGATCAGATTTTTTTAAGAAAAAGTAATTTTAAATTGGGTCTGGATTTTTTAGATGTTATATTCGGATTGAATCGGGTTTAAGTTTAAGGTGAAAAATATTTGAATCGATCCAAAAAATTATAGTTTTATCTTATATATTTATGGATAGTTGTAATAATATCTCTCTATATATTTCAATTAAATTTATATTTTTATTAACTAAAAATGATATTTTTTTAATTAATATATTATTTCAGTTAGATCGAGTACGAATTTTATCTTAAAAGGACAAGTCAGGTTCAAGTTGGGTGGAATATATATATTTTTCGGGTCGAATTCAAATCAGATGAAGAGTTTATAAATTTTAGGTCGAGTCGAGTGAACTGAAAATCCGACCCGACTCAACCCATACATGTCCCTATACTGATCTGCCTCAAACCTCCCCTCTAACTCCGAGACCTGCTCCTCAAATACCAGCTTTCCTTGTTAGAGAATCAGATTCTAAGAGTCCGTTTGGTTTTAGAAAATATTTTTTATTTTCATTTTTTTGTTGGGTTTCAGACAATAATTTTTATTTTTAATTTTTTTAAAATTAGAAAACATGTTTGATTAATATAAATGAAAATTTGAATTTAAAACTAAAATAGTAAAAATGTATGTGGTATCTAATTTTCTAAAATAAAAACAAACAAATAGTTATTAAATAATTAAATTAAACTATAATTATTTAAAAAAACCATTGCATAATTTTAACATGAGAGTTATATAAATATAAAATAGTAAAATTGATAAGAAATTTCATAACACAAAATTTATTTTAATTTATACAAAATTACAATGTTAATGCATTTGGACATCAATTAAATTAAAAAAAAAAACAAAAATATTGTTATAACCAATAACACACAAGTTTCATTAACATAAAAATATGTTTAATGGTTACTGAGACCCTCAAACTTTTGAAAAAAAAATAATTAGTGTAGTTCCTGAACGTATTTTTATAGCAATATTATTCTTAAACTTAGAAAAAAATTAATCTAACCTTTTAAATAGACGAATCAAATGTTGACCGTCACAACGTTTATATGACAGTTCACAAACTTACATGACAATCTACAATAATGATGTGGCAGCTCACGATACTATTGTGATAGTACTCGATGGATGATGATGTGGTAGATGGACTTAATTAATTATTTTAGAAAATTTGAGGACTTGTTTGATTTAAAAAAAAACTTATTTAGATTAAAAATAGAAACAATTATTAAGATATTCAATACATTAAATATAAAAATACTACAAAATTAAATTATTAAAAAATTAATTTAAGGACTACCAATATTTCCTAAGGTTAAGGTTGATAGCTGTTATGGAATGAATCTTACAAGACAAGAACATAACTCATATCGTATCACCCTCAAACACATTGTTACCCAGTTCTCTCACTAAAATACTAACATTAAATAATTATTTTTGGAATTCAATCTTCACGTACTGACTGTCTTTTGGTATGATCTACACTTCGACATATCGACTCTCTCTCTCCCCCCCCCCCTCTGTTTCCTCTTTCCCTTTACTGACAGTGTTTGCTTTGAGTTGAAGTTCATTTTGGTTGGGAACTAACTGCAAACTAAAATTTGATTTCACCACCTGAACCTACTAGCTACTTACTTTGCTTTTAATTAATATATAACATAATTATTTTCTTCTTCTTTTAATATTTTGAAACCACTAATAATCTTGTCTTAAAATTAAAAAAAGTTTGTAATTGAAGTGGTATTTACATTTTTATGTAATATTATTTTAGCTATAACAGCGTGGAGTCCACTTTCCTAGTATGCTAGCGTTATTAATTGGGAAGTGAAAAACAACAGCGTGTTGTCGGTGAAAGGAAACACTCGTTTCACTTTTTTTTTTTGAATTGAAAGAAAGCCTAAGACATTAGTCTAAGCATGGCTAGTAGCGTCATCTTGCTGCGCAACGGCTGCTTCTAATCGAAGTAGATCAATAAGCCATCGGGGAAAAGTCGAAATAAATCAAACTGAAGTGATTCCGGGAGGAAAGCTTTGCCATCTTATCTGCAATCTTGTTCCCATTCCTGTTTATCCATTGGATCTTTGTTATTCAGTATCCAGACCTTTGTTGCTTCGTAATTGCGCGTAATAGAGGAATATGACTGTCAATGGCAGCACTATCTTCGACCAACTTGACTGCTCTGCTACAGTCGGATTGTATCAATAATCTCGAAACCCCAAAGCTCCTTGCAATGAGTAAACCTTTGTAGATACTCCAGAGTTCTATTTGGAGGGAAGATGTTGTTCCTATATTTTTGCAAAACCTGTAATACAATCATTCGTGGAGTTGCGAAGCACACCACCAATCGAACCTCTTCCATCAAGTGTCGCAACTGCACCATCCGTGTTTAAACACATCCATCCCCGAGGTGGCGGAGACCACGTTGAAGCAGCCATCTGTTGTCTCAGGCGTTCAGCAGGAGTTCTGGTATTGATTTCATAGTATTTGGCCCAGCTATAACCACTATGAATGATCGAGTCTGTTTTATAAGTAGCAACCTTAAAAACATAATCGTTCCTTTGTTTCCAAATTAGCCAAATGAGAGCAGTAAAAAAAGAGGACCAAGAAGGATCACCCTCGTATAAGGGACGATGCATGTTGATGTTTAGTGTAATCCATGAGTGGAGGTCAGTCACGAAAAAGCTTGAGCAGGCGGATTGGGGCACAATACGCAACCACAGGTGTTTGGCTTGGTGGGCAATCACGTAGCACATGAATTACAGTTTCAATTGTTGCACCACAAGTCGGACAAGAATGGTTATTTGTGAGCAGTCGTCTTTCTCGTTTATAATTCGTCATGATTATTTCTTTATAAGCGAGCCATGCAAACATGCGAACTCATTGAGGAGCAGTGATTGACCAAATTACCTTCCAAATAGAGCTTTTTTCATTCCAATTACCTTCCATGAGAAAAGAATAAGCTGACTTAATTGTAAAGTTAAGTTCAGGATTCCATCTCCAAACCAGAGCATCGGGTTTATCATTTCTATCAGGGGGTCTAACATTGATGACGTGAGGGATGACAGCTGGAATAAGAACTCGAGATAGAGCTGCAACGTCCCAATGGCCATGAACATCAACGAAGTTGTGAATTGTATGGATTAAATCAGCATGTATATCATTTCGGGCATAGTCTCGTAAAGGCCCCAAGCTCGACACCTAATTATCATTCCAGAAAGTTATAGAGTTCCCATTACCCACTGACCAAACCAAACATGAGAGAAACTGTCTCCATATTTTCGATATTCCTCTCCATAATGGGGAACAATTATGCTTTTCGATCGATAGAGGGTGAGTCTCCTGAATTTTATATTTTTGTCTGAGTAGTTGGACCCAGTAAGAGTCTGTCTTCACCATAAGGGAATAACCAAGCTTCATCATGAAAGCTTTGTTTTGCTCAAGAGGCTGAACAAACCCCAAACCTCTTCGATCAATCGGATTACAAACGGTAGCCCAATTAACTAGAGAGATTTTCCTGCCAGATGGTTTCAAACCCCAAATAAAATATCTTGTCGTAATTTTGATCTCATTACAGACATGTTTAGGGAATGGCATGACTTACATAAAATAAGTTGGAATGGCTGAAAGGACTGATTTTGTCAAATCAATACGCCCTGCAAGCGAAAGGGATCGAGCAGCCCAGCCATTTAATTTACTCCTGAATTTTTCGAAGATGAAATCAAAATCAGCAACTTTCATACGCCTATGAAGGACCGGAACTCCAAGGTACTTCCCCATAGATTCAACTTATGGGAAACCAAGACATGATAGAATGGTAGATTTCATGGATGTGGTGGTATTAGGCGAGAAGTATATATGCGTCTTCCGTTTACTAACTTTGTGCCCCGAGAAGTACCTAAATTCCATAAGGGTTTTCTCAATGATTTTCGCATGGGGTAGATCAGCCTTTGCATATAACATAAGATCATCAGCAATAAATAAATGACTGATGGAGAGGCCCCGCCGGGAAAAGAATAACCCTTTTAA